TAAGTCTGGAAATAAAGTTGGAAGCTCAACCCTGATGTCAGAAGGTTACTTACTTTTGAACCAAATGATGGTGTTTGGAAGTCTGCTTCATGTCAGGCTCTCGTCCTTACAAACATACCTGGGCAGCAAAGTTGCTTGCACTTTGTGGCTTTGGGATATTTGGCAAATCAGTTTCCTTTTTATGGTGTTCAAGTCAGATTGAATTATCTTCAAGGCCTCATCTTGCTTTAAAAAAAAAAGTCCATGATTCAAATCATGTGACTCTGCTGGTCAGTCTCTCTGTATCTGATGGGAGCTGTCTAGGGTTTTTTTTGTTTTTATGTCTTCACTTCTTACAATCCTGTGTTCTAAGAAGCCTTAAGAGTGCCTGAAGTGCAGTAATCCAATACCATTTGTCTTACCTCTGCTATATCAGACAATAGGTGCTGGTTACTAAGACTGTGAAATAAAAATAGCTGGTATTAACCTTGCAGTCCCTCAGTGCTTACTCTCTCTTCGTCTTAATTTCTTCCAAGAATTTTGCTGTCAGGTAGAAGAGGCTTTCAAGAAAACTCAGGCTTTTGATAATGTGTGTGGGCTTTCTGCTTGTAAGATTTTTCTCTCGTTAGCTGCTGTAGGTCCTATGTTGCTCGCTCCCTCTTCCAAATTAGAATCAGATGTACTTAAGTTAGAGTCAGATATACTTAGTTCTGTGGAAGCAGCAGCAGCAGTGTAGCTTAGTTTGGGCTGTTTCCAAAAGGGACATGTGATGAGATTAATCAGAAATACAGGACTCCTTTCAAATTTAGGTCTTCTCGTTATAAAATGGGCACCACCTAACAAAGTTGCTTTCATAGGGGGAAAAATGCTTTTCCTAGCCAAGATTTTGGTTGGTTAAGAAGGAGTCAAGTTAGTTAGAAATTTTAGGCATCATTAACTTCTACCTGTTTAAGACTATTTACATTTGCTATAAAAGTTTACATAGTATTGATTAAATTTGTGAGTCACAGAAAGGGGAAAAAAAATACTTTTTCTTAAAAAAAAAAAGGAAATTTATAGCCGTGTAGAACGAATTTAAGGTGAAGTCTTACCTAAAGGACTCAATCATCTGATTTACAAATTCTCTTCAAATTTTGTGGATTAGCTGTGTATAATATATACATAATGCCAAACTCATGTATTTCACAGTGAAAACTTATCTTTAAATGTTTTTGGACTAGATATTAAGGTTCTTTCCTTATAGTTACTATCCATAGTGGATTTTTATTAAAAACATTTGTCATGAAATGTTCCAGTATTCAGTTGTAGAGAGTAAAATGAACCATCATCCAGTTTCACTATTTTTTTAATCAATATATGGCCAATCTTATTTATATAAGCATGTCCCTTTTTCCTCACTCAATTATTTTGAAGGAAATTCCACATTTGTTTAATCTACAACTGTTTCAGTAAATCTGTCAAAAAAAGGACTCATTTTTGGTTTATCTACATGCACATTCCTATAAAATGCTCTTGGTCAGAAATGTTTTCAAGTATCTTTTAGTACTAATTTGAGCATTAATCATATTTTTCCTCTACCAGGGACTGGTCTGGTTGAAAGACAAAGAAGCAACACATTGTAAACTTTGTGAAAAGGAATTCTCACTGTCTAAGAGAAAGGTAAGGGAGAATAGGAAGTGAATCCAAAAGTTTTGGTGCAAATATGGCTAATTTTACTCATTTTTTCCCCTCTGATTTTTCCATTTAATAGCACCACTGTAGAAATTGTGGGGAAATTTTCTGTAATGCCTGTTCTGACAACGAACTGCCTTTGCCTTCTTCACCGAAGCCAGTACGGGTTTGTGATTCCTGTCACGCATTACTAATTCAAAGATGCTCATCTAACTTGCCATAATATTCCAGAACTATTCTAATGTATGAAAAGTACCTACAATGAATGATGAATGTTACATATGAACATGTGTACAGTGTATTCAGACAGCCCTTAAGCAGCTTTCAGACAGCATTGGTACATTTTACTTTCACATATTCAACTCACAGGAACTCAATGTATAATGTGAGATTTCCTTTGCCATTTTTATTCAATAACAGGGCATGCTTTAAAGTAACCTTAGCCTAATTTCTGACTGTAGTTATCATGTAACTCTTTTCTTAATGCCATGGAGAGGCCAGAGAGCATAGCCTACATGTTTGCCTTATTTTGTAAAGGCCTTCTTAAAAATAGGGTTTCAGATTATACTCCAGATTGTCAAATTGATATTTGATGGTGCCTGTAATTTTTTTCTTAATGCACTTTAAAGCTTCACAGTTCTCCAAGAACAATTGGAACTGCACATTTTAGAAGTATTAATATTTCAACAGGTTTTTCATTAGCTTGGTAAAGTGTCAACTGTATTTGCTTCCCCTCCTCTGCCCATTTTGCATTAGAAAATGCCTTCTCTGTAGTCAATGTGGTATTTTGCTGGACTTTCAGATACAGTGGGTGAAAGAGGTATTATTTTGTCTCAAAACCTTTTATTTTGAAAATAAGTTATGTCCATTTCTTAGGACTCACACCTTTAAAAGTCAAAACATAGGAACTGCTCTGGCAGTCTAGTAGTTAGGACTCCACACTTGCACTGCAAGGGGGCACAGGTTGGATCCCTGGTACCACATGAGCATGGCCAAAAAAAAGTCAAAACATAAACTTTCCTAGAAAAAAAATGTAATAGCCAGGATTATAGGCTCCTGATTTTCCCTTAAGCATTTAAGGAGAAATCTAAAATACAGTTAAACTTTGCCTTTGATTATGACAGGTTTGAGTTAAAAAGTTCTGTATTACCTCTCCAGTCCAGTAACTTTTAGGAAGCATTACACTGTGGCAGTCTACTACAGTAGAGTAAAATACCATTTATTAGCACCAAGCCAGGGCCTAGAGCAGACTGAAGATGGACTTTCAGCCCTGCCATTGCATACATACTTGCACTATTTCAAGCATAAAGTCAGTAAACACTAATCCCTGTTAATAGTTTATAGCATATCAAGAATTTAATCTTTAAAACTACCCTTGCATAACTGTTTCAACAGCATCACCACTTGGGGTTCTACTTTTTTCTTAAGTCTTAATTTAAATCATGCACTTGAGTCTGTACCTTTTAAACATGCCATTATTGGTATCCACATTACTCCTAAGAGCACTAGTGAATAAATCATGACTACTCCCTCCACACTAAGGTAGCATTGCTTACTCTACAGGATTGTTATCCCGAGTACATACTTCTGTTGAGGTTTAAAATTAATTTTCTAAGTTGCCAAAGTATGAAACCACTATTTTACTTTCAGATTTCTTTTCCATAATCCAGTCAGTTTTTAGTCTTAAATCAGAATGGACATAGATTTATAGGTGGTCTTTAATGCTCTGATAGGAGTATTTGAAACATGAATTATATTCTTTGAACTGTTTTGTACTGATGGGATGGGTTAACATTTTTATGACGAGAATAAGCAAAAATGAAAAATTTCAAGTGCTGTTTTTTATTATTGTGCTTGAACTTAGTGATTCTCTTAAATGCCAAGCCTGGTTTCATTCAACAAATAAACCATGATTTTTAGTCCCAATTTAAATTCTTCACCACTCATTGCCATTGATTTGGGCCTTTTATAGGCAGGCTTTTTCTAAGAAGAAATTGAAACTTGCTCCATTTTGTTTTGACTTGTATCTAAAAACCATAATTTTGGATTTCATGTAATAGAACTTTGTATTTTGTGAACTTTGTGTACCGTTCCCTCATCTAGTAGTATTATCATCTAACGCTATCATGGTGCCAAGGAATTGTGATTGTAATTCTCATATTCACACTTCTCTAAAATGTGAATTTTATATAACAAATAAAACACCTGAAAAATTAAGCCTGTTTTAGAAAAGTGGTGTGAGCCTAGTAATTAAGGGAGTGAGTACAGGCAGTAAGATGAATCATTGCTCCAGTTGATAGGTTCCACTTATGCTACCAAGCTGCCTTCTTTAAGAACAGCAGAAATCATTCCTTTGTCACTTTAGTCTAATATTCAGTTAGACATAGTACCTTCTACCAATTTGATTTCTAATCATTAACTGACACAAAGCATTCTAGGACAGACGCCATACTCATCTCCCACATTGATATTTATTACATTAATAACATTTCTAGCAAAAACAAGTAACAAGTTCAATAACTGAATTCACATTGACAGGTTTCATTTTGATCCATTAGCCAATTTGGGAAAAAAAGCCATATTGATCAAAGGGATTAAAAATAAAGCACCTTTTTTCCTTGCTACATAAAAGTATTAAATACAATGGCTCTAAAACTCGAAACAAATTAGATGCAAAATCCAATCGCAAGACTCTCAAGACATGGACTCTTACATTTTAAAAAGTAGTCACTATACAGTTATGCCATATGCTTTAACTATCGGGCTGGAAACTGAATACACCTGTTAGAATTATACTCCACGGTAAATACCTTTGTACTTGTAGTGAATCTCATGTCACCGAGAACCTTAACCTAGTCTAAGACATTTTGAGAACTTACAACTATCACTTTTGGGAAACTTTTTTTTTGGTACTTCAGTCAAGTGCTGAGGGGATTTCTTCTAAAGTCTAGAGCTAGAATCTAAACTTCCAACACTCCCATCTGCAGGTAACACAATTATGAAGATACGTTAAGTCCAGATACCTCCTAGATGGTTAATATTTCAGAGCTATGCTGGATAAATATCTGAAAATATAGAATTAGCCGAGTTTATACTCCTGAAGTCACCTAAACTCATCTTTAGGTTTTGTATTTACAGTGTTGTCCAGGAGAAATTAAAAGAGTATCACTAATTCTTCTCCAAGCTCTATTCCAGATGTCTGCTTATTAAGACTTGTAGTTTATGCAGAGGTGAACCATTGTCCTCTTAAACTACTTCTTGTAGAGCTAATAGTAAAATACATCAACCCAAATCTTCTGAAAGCAGCACATCCTCAGAAGTAACTAGTATATAAAAAGTATCAACATCAGTGGTTTGAATATAAAAATTTATTTTTTTAAGTCAAAGTATGCAACAAATAAAACCTACAGAAAACAGATTTTCCCATCACAATCTGTTGCTTTACCAAATAATATTTTGAAAACACATTCCTTCAGTCATTATAAAGTTCTTAAAATACAAAAGAAAGTAATTCTGTAAGAAAGTCTAGTAGACCAGATGCTGTTTGTCAGGACTTTTATATGTGTGGTTATGCTTTTAGTACATCCCACGCCATCCACCTCCACTCATGCCACCTTGCCCGTAGTAACCGCCACTGCCTCCACCACCACGGCCTTAGGAAAAAAAAAGACATTAAGAACCATTTAGTAGAGGATACAAATGCATAAGTTATTAAAAATACAAACAATATTGTAAGTCAACTATACTTCAATTAAAAAAAAGGAATATATGAACTTTAAACTGCACCACATATGGGGACTCAAACGGAACAACAACAACAAAAAAGACACTCACCATAACCACCCAAGCCATCAGGAGTACCATATCCTCCACTGTAATTGTTCCCCATTCCCATTCTTCCAACAGATCCATAGCCTCCCTGATTATCTTTTAAAAAAAAAAAAAAAAAAGTTTGAGACTGACTTGCTAAGTGTCTGACTCGGCTTAATATTTAAAAAGCTTTACATACCCATTCCATCTCTGCCGTAGCCTCCCATTCCAGAACCTCCCATTCCAGAGCCGCCTCCAGGAGTTGAATTCAAGAAAAGTTCAATGTATCGATGTTCTTTTGAGTAATAGGGGAAAAAGGAATGTTGAATACAATTTATAAATAAGTGTGAAAAGCTTGACTAACTAACATTAACACAAAAAAGAATGCTTGCAAATTCCTAGTGGAGTGACTGAATGCCCGATACAACTAAAATCTAAGGTCAAGCTTCAACTAGTTACCAGTGTTTTACGCTTCAGTTTCCTTATCTATAAAAGGGCTGACTCATTATTTTAGAACCGGCTGGTAATACATCTTATTCCAGAACTTCCCTAGTGGTTCAGTGGCTAAGAATCTGCCTGCCAATGCAGGGGACACAGTTTCAGTCCCTGGTTTGGGAAGATTCCACATGCTGCAGAACTAAGCCCATGTGCCACAACTACTAAGCCTGCACTTGAGAGCTACAACTACTGAGGCCCAAGCACCCGAGCACCTGTGCTCTGCAAGAAGAGAAGCCACTGTAAGAAGCCCACACACTGCAACCAGAGCAGCCTTTGCTCGCCACAGCTGAGAGCCCTTGCACAGCAACAAAGACCCAGTGTGCCCATAAGGAAAACAAAATCCCACTTGATATATAAATATGTGTATTCCAGGCCCATTCATAGAACTAAATTAGCACCTTGAGAGTAGTGTCCAGGGCAACTTAATTTTATTAAGTATCAAGTGATTAATGTGTGGTCAGATTTGCGAATCACTAGAGATTAAATTTAATGGCTTAAAAACAGATTTGATGACATGGAGGAATAACTCACCCAAGTTATCAATGTATAGATTAAGAAACAGTATTAATTTCCAAACGGCATAAAAACTTAGGCAAATGCAACATTTTTCCTGTTTAGTAACTTAAGCTCTAATAATCTGAAGTATAAAGAGCCTGAGTTAACTCTTCAATAGAAAGCCCCTTAGAAAGGCAAGTCTGAACTTATTAGCAGCCACATGGTTTCAGGTCCCAGACCACTAAGCTCCTAGAACCTCTTACATTTGAGGAATCACAAATGAGAGAGTTATACCACTTACGCATGTTATTCTTATCTTTAGACATGGCAGCTACCGCATCTTCATGTGTCACAAACTCTACATCTGCTTCTCCTGTTGCTCTGCCATCAGCTCCAATATCAATATGCACTCGGATTGGATTTAGTGGTGAGAAGAACTAAAGAAAACACTTATTTTACTTTTCTACTTAGATCACTGAAAGACAATTACCATGCACACTGGTTTTAAGTCTATTAAATGCAAAGTGATCTTTGAAATTAACCCAGGTGATATTAAATTAAAAAGTATTTTAAGCAAGAGAAGAGTTTACACTGTAAGGAAATAAGTCTTATTTTCCTGACTATACTGAGAGAAAAGCAAGCTTCCTAGGCCCACTCCCAAGAAAGGTATTTCAAAATTGTTTGAAGTAAGTGACCCGAGACACTGACATGCAGAGAAATTGGGTGTTATGAATCAGAACAACACATTTGATAAACCTACCAACTGTATATGCATAGGTCCCAAAATATATCATTTAATTCTAACTGCAAGTTAATCAGGTTTAAGTGACCCCCCCAAAGCACCTGAAAATTAGTCCAGCTGGCTCCCAGTAAGATCAATCGCAAAATTTTTCTTTAAGGGCTAGATGATAAATGCCCTCAGCTTTGTAAGGCCACTGGGGTCTCAACAAGTAATGAATGAGTGATTGACTTGGCCCAAAGGGCTGAAATTTGCTTATTTTCTAACCAATTTGTAATGAAGCAGTTTCAAATCAGTAATAGCAGCCATCTACTACCATTATTTTCAGTTCCTCATTTCTAATCACAGTCTGGGGAAGCCAAACCAAACCACTGAAACTTACTGGCTTGTTACATAGAATACTCAAATTAGACACTATGATTATATATAAAACTACTAATTACTAAAATTACTCACATTAGCAATATCATTTTCAGTTGCACGAAAAGGCAGTCCTCTCATATGTACAAAATGACCACCATGAAAACCCGAACTTGCATCACCAGCTCCACCATAACCATGTCCTCCCATACCTAGAAAATAAAATTTCCAAAGATTATTTCTTTCCCATACACACCTTTTCCTATTTACACACTTTTCACCGACACCCCAAGTAATCTTAACACTTGGTTTTTCTAAATATCATATGGAAATTTTTCTTTAAGTATCTATCTATATTAAGCCTTATGTAGGAATACACTGAAATATGCCTGAGTTGATTTTTGTATACAAGTCACCTATACTAAGTGCATGTAAAGCAAATATTAAAATTCACCTAAAAATCACTTTTTTATTTTACCTCTTCCATCTCTCATTCTGTCATCAAAGCCATCATTTCCATAGCCATAATTATTATAGCCACCATAGTCATCAAAACCTCCATAACCTGTGTAATTTAACGAGAAATACATGAATAAGCTTTCAAGAGATAAAATTTTATAATCTAGTTTATAAAAATGTATCTTCTGACAAGCACTCTGGTTAACTTACTGTTACAAGTTTGCAACCCCTCCAACCAAGTTTGCAACACCCATTTTAGTGGATATTAAAAAAGCAGTTAACACTCGTATGAAAAGCACACATTTAGACATAAAAATTTTCATCCTGATTCCAAACAGAAAAGGTCAAAACCTGGCAATCTCTTAAAAATGTTCGTGTAGGTAAACTAGGTGCCAATACATACATCAATCAAGTCCCATAGCTGCCCATGGGAATCCACATTTGTATGAACAGATTAAACCTAGTAGGTACTGAAATTACTGCCATTTCTGTATTTCTTGACAAAGTGTCAGGAACGTTAAGAAAATGACAACAGAACCTTTGTTCATTAGATACACATACCACCATCATATCCATCACCTCCTCGTCGCATTCTGTCATACATACTTCCACGCCCAGCTCCATAATAACCCCCTCTTCCTCCTATTGGTCTATCATATGGTCCTGGTCGCTGGCCCAGCAATCTTCTTGGTGGATCATAAAATCCTTTGATTTCACTCCTGCTACTTCTGAAGATCTCAATATACCTATTTGAAAATGGTTTAAGGTACAGGTTTCAGCATAAACGTATTAGAGTAAATAAAATACTGGGCAAAATGCAGTAAGTTTTTCTACAACTAGATATAACCCAATTAAAATTGCCTAAATACACCAAAAGTTAACATTCCTTTACACCTACAAACTTAAATAATATTTAAGTTTTAAAGACAAATTAAGTAATTTGAAAACAATTCACAAAATACAATTTTAAGTTTGTTTTGTTTAGTATATAATAGATGTTTAGAGAAAATAGTTGATTATACAAAAACATTTATCAACATCATCCTACAGAAAAATGGAAACAATCTTAAGTTTAATTTAAGCAAACTATTAGCATTAATTCCCCACCCAAATCTGTAGTTTCCAAGTTAAATTTAGATAATTATCAATTCTTTTAAACTACCCCAGAAAAATGTTACTGTTACCCCCCCATTAAGCAATAGTGACCCACAACCCCCAAAAATAAAAATTTAACACCATCCCAAACTCTCCATCCCCACCTGTGCCCTATTCTTTCCTTGTGTTTCCCCAGAGCATTTTCTGCTATCTCCTTTGAAGCAAACTGCACGAAGGCCTCCCCTGTGCTTCTCCCCTGGTAGTCCATCGTCAATGTTATCCCATTTGGCACGATTTCCAACCCTTTAACCCAAGGACAAATAACCCCATCAAGGGGAACAGTGTTAAAGGCTGAAACATTCCCATCTGAATCAAATATTTAAAACAAGTCTAAACAAAACAAAACAAAAAAAAAAAAGCTTAGTTTCCCCATCACCCCATAATACAAAAGGAAGATCTTTTCAAATATTACTGGATTATATAATTTTTTTTTTGTGACCAATGTCTTTTAAAATTACACACAAACTCACAAAAGACCACCTAACATTACATGGAAAAAAAAATAAGTTTAACTATGCTCCATATGCTAATTCACGATTCATCATACATAATTACTCTCAATTATGTTCACTGCATATTAGGTTTTACATATTTTTACACATTCTGTATTGAATATTAACTGGAGCACATTTCATAACTTAATACTTTAACCCAGATACACTCAAATCAAAAAGTCCCCCAAACAAATGGGTTTTACAAATTAAAAACTGAGTAATAGAAATATATAAAATTAAAATACTACTAAACTTTGACTAATACTAGAGGTACCTTGAAAGAACTGAACTATTTCCTCTTTGCTGCAACCAAATGGCAGTCCACGAAGTCGTACTGTCCCATCACTAGCGTCATTTGGACCATTATGTTTCATAACCCAATCCATCTCAATACCGTTTGATTTAAATGCTATAAAAAATAAACAAGCACACAAAGCAGTCAATCAAAATACACTCTTGCCAGAGGTACTGAAGAACCAACTCTCAGTGGTGCACAACAGCAAATGTAACACATAGTTATACAACAGTACAATACCTTTTATTTCAGGGCAGACAAAAAGATGGGGTAAAGGCAGTGAAACTTAACCCTCCCCCAACCTGGAATTTCCAAGTATTAAATATTATAATTTTAAGAAAACTTCATAATTCTACCATCAATCTTCAAACTCTTTTTGACCCTGTCCATCTAGTCTTTTCCTCATGTCTCAAATGTTCCTTCACGTTTTCCAAGTTTTATTATTCACTTGAAATAGTTATGCAAATTCTTCAAAAAAACTCAACTCAAAAGTTGTATACAGTACCACCATCCATTCACAGTAAGAGCCTAAGTCAGAAGTACAATGAGTACTCCTTTTGATGTTGGAAAAATGGTACTAAAGTCTAACCTTTAATAGATGCACTTAATTCTGAACATACCAGATTGTTTCCAAAGGGGGAACAAAGTCCTGTTTAACTATAAAACTGATTTAAACACTCCCCAAAAGCAAGTTTTAAAATTACTGACTTAATTAGGCCGAGTTTTAAAACTGAGATAAAAGGACATCCCAAAACAGCTTTTTAAAGCTACCTGTTTGGCAATTATTGAAAATAGCGTATTAAAAACCAGTTCACTACTTTTAAATAGAGTTTTTTTGAAAAAAGTAACACAATCACATTCAAAAAGTTATTAAAAATGGTACAAGAAGCCCTCCTTCCCCCCTCAAAAGAACTCATCCACCAAATCCCCATCCTGAGACAATCACCCTTTCTTTTAACAATTCCCAAACATTTTAAAGAGGTTAATGCAGAAGTCCTTCAGCTGCAGAAACTTACCAGATCTTATAAATATCACTATGCAGCTGTAGGAATCCTACTCACCTGAATATTTCAAACCTTTCCCTCACCACATCCTCCCCTGTAAACAAAACAATTTGTTCACTTGATTCCTTTAAGCTTGAGGATATTTCATATAAGCAGTATTCACTAATACTTAATTTCACATGATCTAATTATTAGCCCAACTGTTTGGGGTAGCATCTGCAAAGAGGAAAAATTTCCCCCTAAAAACCATGCATTTAAAATAAGCTAATGTAGAAATTATCCAAATGTGGCTATTCAGCAAATTCCTCTTTATATGAATCACCTTTGTACTTTGCTTTGCGCGTGTGTGCTTAGTCCAACTCTGACTTTTAAAATGCTATCCTAAGTGCCACTCTAGACACAAATGTTCAAGATTTTTATCTGACATTACAACTATTATGCACAAAAATAACTGGGAAAAACTTTTAAGACAAAGGAAACTCTTGGCTTGAATCCCTAGTCTGTCATTCACAGCTACGTAGTTTATTAGTAAGCAAACTACTTAACCTCTGCGTTCAACTGTAAAATGTGCAGTGGTGCTTATACCTCACTGGACTAGGAAGGATCCATGCTTAGTCTGCAACACAGTCATCATTCAATGGTGGCCACTGTTACTGGATCCCAAGGGGCCTTGTAAAACTAATGAAATAAGCTACAAACAAAACAACTGAACCGTAAAGGATAGGAATCTATCCTGAATCCTGAAATGAAACAGACTGTTACAAGTTTTTTTCCAAGTCAACAGAAGCTTTAATTTTCAAGCATTTTTAGGAGTTGTCTAAAGCGGAGAGAGGGGGAAAAAGGAGGGTCTCTGGAAAGGTTTACTTGGATACATAATCAGCTAAACAATTTAAAAAGTAGTTCTAAGAGTCACCCTGAAAGTAGGCTTTGGGAAAAGGAGACATTTTGGAGATCTTGATCATTTTCTTAAGGGGAAAATAAAAAGGCAGCAACCCAAGACATAACCGTTTTCTATTAAAGGGGAACAACAGAAGTGGAAAAAATGGAAAGGATCTAAACCTCCATTTGTTAACCTCCCAATGAAAAACTTAAGACCTTTGCAAAGTCAATCTAATTTGTTGTGAAAAGACCTTAGAAATGGTGGCTTTATATAATTTAGAACATTTTCCCCCCTCAATGTAAAGGTACTGTTTCATGAACAAATACCTTCTCTCCCAAAGAGGGAAACTTGACTTATCTTTACTGTAAATCTTATTAGCACTTTCCAAGAAACACTAGCAAGGAAACTAGTTTTGATTTTTGGATCAGTCTGTACCAATGAGACCTATATAAAAGAAATAGTCTATTTAAGAAAAAACAAACTGTTAATACAATTCTATTTAGAAAACAAAACCAAGACGGATTCTAAACATTAATAGAGTATTTGTTCTTATACATTAATAAAGCTGTCTCAGAAACTACCTAAATATTTACTTATTCAGGATAATCCATCTCAACCCTTCTTTGCAACAGTGTCTAATGGCTAATGTCCAGGGGCTAATTTTTTAAAAGAATTCCTAGTGTTAGAACCAATTAAAATACCAGCAGCTGGAATATTAGGATAATCTTGGTCAGTTCTTTATGAGATTTAAAACATATTTTCCTAAACATTATGCTACATGAAGGATGCCAGTCATAAAAGATCACATATTGTATGATTTTAAGTGGATAACACTTATGGTATGTGAACTGTACCCCAAAGCTGTTAAGAAAAAGCAACTAAAAAAGGCAAAAGAGACAAAATTCCTTTATAACACAGAGGTATATACCATCTTCATAAATATAACACAAAATAAGGATTTGATGCATTAGTAACTTTCTAAACGGTAGCCCAACTGCTGCTAAAAAATGAGGATTTTCAAAATTTGGTCAAGAAATTATAAAAAACACGGAAATTTTACATCATTCCGCTTTCATTGTGCTTGCTCTTTAATTTTAAAAACAAGAGACACCACCACTACCTAAAGTGAAGCGAAACCTCTAAAATGATTGGGTTCTTTTCTAGAACGACCAGCCTCTGCAGTTCAGTCACTTGTTTACCGAAATAACACCACCAGAAGAACAGTTATTAAACATATTAAGGCAATTAGGTGGATTTCCAGATTACCATGCAGATGAACAAGAGGTCAAGAAAAAAAGTTTCTAGGGTAATTCAATCAGCGAAGCTGTTAAATCACATACTATTGATAATTTATAGGAAACTGGGCTGTCTTTTCAAAGTCCACGAGAAGCACAGAAAGTCTTCAGCAATAGGAACTGTAGTTTTTTTTAACGCTGTAAAAATAGCCATGCCTATACCTTTTGTACTGCTTCAATGAAAATTACAGACACAATTCTCCAATGTTCTAAGGACTAAAAACCATCGCAACATCACATGACTGAACTTGCTGTTTGTCTTTGTTGAGCAGGCTTATTTTCTTGGTCAAAATGTTACTACAGTCCTACATCAAATAGAAAACAGGCTTAGCTACCAAAAGAAAATAAACCATAACGGTGTTTTTAAGTATTTTGTTTCCATGGCCTTACAATCTTTGCACAAAACACAACCCCTGGAGACTTAATAATTCCTATACACACAATTTTGCCATCACTGGCGGTGTTTTAACAACTGTTTCCCCCAAGTAAAGCCCCTACTGAATTCTAACCCAGTATTTCCCAAACTACACAAAACCATTACACCATCCCACCCCCGCTCAATGGTTCAGAAAGCCTATTTTCATAGTTCATCTATCTGAAATAAGCCTATTTCAAATTCCTATTTGATAAATCACTCGCTTTTCGGCTTACAAAACAATTACCCACAGTCTTTCAGTAAGTTTAAGATAAGCATGGGAAGGGGGGGGGAACCCTTTGGAAAATGAGTACGTACTCTTTTCGAAGTTCCAAATGTGGAATATAAGGGCCGACTAAGCGTCCTTTATTCCGCCCCGGGGACTTTTCGTTTATCTAGCTGCCCTAGAGACCGAAGAGCTAGGGAGAGTACGCCACTTCCTAGCCCGGCAGCCAAGCCTGGCTTAAAAACCTTCGCCACCGGGCGGCGGAATTACAAAGGAGGCCGTCTGCCTCCTTTGTCCTGGATTTAGGAGTTGAGCGCCTTCGTCGCCATTGGCTTTCCTCCCCCAGCTCCAGCCTCTCTCATCTTGGGAATCTGCGTCAGAAGTCACTCGCAGTCCCGCCGGGCCAGGTAGCCCAGCAGAGACTGCGGAGGACGGGAGGCCTCGGTGGGAGGCCAGGCCCATCCGGCGCCATTTCCATCGGGAGCGCGCCCGACGGGCCAGATCCTCCCCACACCCAAGTGCCCAGCCTTCCCCTGCTCGCTTCCTTCCCACCCTCATCCCTTGTGCGAAGCTTTAACCAACCCCCGGCCTCCTAAGTCAGTTTTCGGAAGCTGAGGGGCAAAAAGCAGAAAGAGGAGAAGGGCGGGAAGCCGAGGGCGCCGCGCTGCCGTACCCAAAATGGCGGAGGCCAAACCAGCAGGGAACGGAGGGGGAAAGCTGGATGACCCCCACTTCGGGGCTCGGCTTCATCCACTGAACTCCACCTGAGTTAATCCTCCTTCCGACAGGCCGCCTTCCTGGAAGTGGGAGATCGCCTGGGAGGCGCAGCCTGGCTGCCTCCAAGTGGCGACCTCTACACTTCCCCCACTCCGCCGCCCCACCCCCTCCCAGTCGCTCTGCCGTCCTTCTCCCGACTCCGCTCTCGAAACTACCAGCCCAACCTACCCCCTTTTACTTCAGATACCCTGTCGGGCGACAGTAGCGCCGACTCCGGTGCCCGCGGGGTCTGGTCGTGAGGAAGCAGAAGTCACCCGCCTCAGGTAGGGCCCCCACAACGGTTCTTCCAACCGTCTCTAGCGGGGGCAACCGCTAAGGAAGCTGCGCAGCAGACCTACTGGCTTGGGGGATGGGAGAGAGCGAGCGAGGAGAAGTGGGTGGAGCGAGAGCAAGGGAGACCGGCCGGCCCCGCTCTCGCGAGACTAAACAGTTGCTCTCGCGAGACAGGAGAGTCGATCTCGCCTTGGCGCCGGCGGCAAGAAGTGCGCTTGCGCGTTGGTCGGCTGACTAGTTGGGCGAGAGGTGGAGAGCAGACGGGTTTGGTCAAGTTAGAGAAAGAGGCCGCGAACTCCACCTTTCCGGCTTACTATATAGCCATCAAATTCTCGGAGCAAACCCCTCGGCTCTCTCTCGAGAAGGATATCCGTGCGTATTGTAGGAACCCGTGGTGTCCCGGTGTGGAAAAGTTCTGATGCTCTATCGCATCACGAACGAGTTCCTGATGCGGCAGAGCATCAGAGAAAAAGTTCTGTGGAGGCCCCGCCCTTACCCAGCGTCACCCGCGTGGAAGGGGCCCCACGTGGTTCGCTGCCAAAAGTGGGGAGGGCTTTTCTTGTCCACCATGTTTGTGTTATGCAGTAAAAAAAGTAGGGCTTCTCCGCTGGAAAGATGCGAAAGTGACCACCAGGCCCTGACTTGGGCTGGGCCTCTTCCCCTGGCCTTGGCGCTGACGGCGCAGCCGCCCTAAAGTGTGCCTCTTTAGGGGCAGGCTGTGTTAGTTATTGAAGTTTCCCTGCAGATCTTTCCTCCCTTCCTCCTCTCCTTTGCATTTTCTCTTGGTTTTAATCTCTCCCACTTTGTAATTTCAGCTACCCATCTACCCCTTGCGTCGCCCGACTTTGAGTTTTCCAAATAGTACTTTGCATTCTTGAAAAATGCCTGTACAAGTAACAACTAGAAAATAATTTTTGGTTGTGCTGGGTCTCTTACCACTAAGGTTCCTAGTGACAGCGTTTGGGGTTAAAAAAATAAAAAAGCCGAATTTCTGTAAGAAGAGTGGAGGGCAGTCCTAGTACCGAGATCAGCGCAAGTTAAAGAGCAAACGAGATCAGTGAAAGTTAACTTGCCAACAAGGAACGTATATCAAATGCGGGGGAGAGAACGGAAATGAGTGTGAGTACACAGATGTTCCTGCAGGTTGGGAATGTGGACAAAACTAGGTTTTAGGCCTTAAATATCCAGTCAGAGACTGTACGGACACTGCAAGCCCGTCGAGGGTGGGGTGATGGGCGCACGAGTATTAGCAGTAGAGAAGCTAGAATAATTTTTCCTCCCTGAGGTATGCAGTTTGTAGTGTGGAGAAAGGCCAGTTGCCGTCATGCAATGGAAACTTCCATTTCGTCGCTATAGTACATCCGCAAACCTGCTTAAGACAAGTGTGGGGTAGTAAGAATTGGCTAGGTCATAATTCCTACTGCCTTTTGTGAGCCCACTCCCTCCAAATAACCTTCAGAGAAATGGAGAAGGGAAAATGTGGTCTTCATTACAAGAGATAGAAAAGCAAAACGTATAGTGTAATAACGATAGCTCACGATTATTGAGAGCTTGCTTGAGCTAGGCGCTGTGTTCAATTCACTGTCTTTATTACCCTAAAAATAATGTCCCCATTTTACAGATGATATGCCTAAGTTCTAGAGAAATTTTAAAAGATACCCAAGATCTCACACCTAGTGACACAAGCTAGGGTTGAAACCTAAATGGTTTTACCTCAGGGACTAGGGTCTTAAAAGCACTATGGACCTACCTGGGGATGTATTAAGGGAACAAAATATATTTAGGCAAATTGAAGTTAGTTCCCCTAAATAACGCTGCAGTTGCCGTCATTTCTGGAGACTTTTGAACTGGCCTGAAACTTAGTATCACTGACTGGGAGTGGGGGAGGTTTCTTTTCTCTTTTTTTCCTATTGATTGCTGTATTAGTAAAGACTCCAAGGTCCTACTTCAGATGGAGTTCTTCCCTGGATTCAAATTACATCATTATCCTTTCTGACTTTCAACCTGATTTGGTAAATGGAGTTCTGTAATCCCTTTTACCCCTTGCCTGAATTCAATTTGTTTACCGCCTGAGTTTGGCATTCTCTCCACATATTTTTTATGGCTATGGATCAAAATTCTAAAACCATTTTAATGACTTTTCATCACCAAACTGCAATGTTTTCTTTGGGGTTTTTTTTGGCCACAATTTTGTTTGTATTGGGCACTCTCCTGTTTGCCAACGTGAATGCTTAGGAAGGACTTGAAATTAGCAGATACATTCCTTTTGCCTTTTTATTATTATAGCAAGTAGGACGTTTTGAGCTTTTAAAAAAATACATTATATAGGGATAAACTTAATTTTTATTTGGCTTCCTATTTTGTGCATGCTCAGTTGCTCATTCATGTCCAGCTCTTTGGTACTCCATGCACTGTAGCCTGCCAGGCTTCTCTGTCCATGGAATTTTCAGGCAAGAAGACTGGAATGGATTGCTGTTTCCTACTCCAGAGGATTGTCCTGACCCAGGGATGGAACCTGAGTTCTTGCATCTCCTGCGTTGGCAGGTGGATTCTTTTAATACTCAATGCTTTTCTCAAAAATAGCCTATCAGCTATTCCCATCTGCAAGTTGAGTCCTTTAAGGCTTGGTGAAATTGTCTCACCACTGCTTCAGTGGTCCCTACAGAATTGTTTCCAGATCAGTCCCTGTGGAATTGTTTCCATAGAGATGGTTAGAACTAAGAACTCCCAGCTGCATTGGAGTGTTTGTTTTTTTTTTCCTCTTTGTCTTCCTTTCCATCATTTCATTGCTTTCCTATTATATGGAAATCAGAGGAACCCTGGAGAGGATCTTGTTAGAGGCCAAAATGAGAGAAAAGATGAAAAAGGAGAAGAAAAAAGAAGTACCCACAGCTCCCAGAGGAAAACTAGACACAGACATGAGATCATGACTACACCACCAGGAAGAGAACAGGAAAATTCCACGCAGAGCTTGAAAAAAGAAGAAAGAAATTGAAGAGATTGCACTCTCCTGGGGGAGGGAAGGCACATTAACTAAAAGTTGGCTAAAATAGTTGTTCACATACCCCTACCGCATTCTGAAATAACATAAAAACAGGATTATAATCTTTGTCTATAGGAAAAGCAAATAAACTAACAACAAACCCACAAATAAGTTTCTAGGAGTGTTTCTAAATGGTTTCTGAGCACTAAATCTGTTGTACTAAGGTTTTGTGAAATGCTTATTCTTTTATATATTAATATATTTACTGTCTTTAGAAAGCAGTGATCTCCATAATAATTCAAAATTATTTCTCAAGACAAAGCTTAATTACACAGTTTACATTCTTGATATTTTGTTTGTTTGTTTCTTCAAATCACCTTAGTGTTTATTCTGGGATTAGGGAAACCAAGAGGTCTCATCCAATTTGAATAACCGTACACTAAGTAAACAAATTGTGACTTAAAAAGA